TCCATTTGTTGTCCTCTGCTGCCCTCTTGTGTCCTCCCTTCCTCTGTTTCTCCGTCCTGCCAAGCACCTGCTTCCAATTTCCTCGTCAGCTCTCTCTCTGTCTCTGTCCCCTTTAAAAGCCCTCTCTGTTCAGTTCCTGTTTGCTGGATCCTCGTCAAACATCCTGTTTAACTTCTGTCTGTGTACCTCCTCTCTCCCTGGCTCCTAGTTTGGATTTACCACTGATGTCTCCTTGGTTCAGGTTCGTTTGCTGTTTTCTTTTGGACTCTGATTCCTGCTCCTGGATCTGAGAACTTTAATAAAACCATTTTAATTCACCTCTGCCTACTGGTCTCTGCGTTTGGGTCCTCCATACAAACACCGATTCATGACAGAAGGATCCAGCCATAACATGGACCCAGCAGAGAACCAGGCATGTGAACTCCTCAGCCCTCCCCATATTCAGGAATCTGACCTTTGGAGCTTTTTTTATGGGGAGAGAGAAGATTTTTTTTTGTTCCTGCCACTGCCATCAGCTCCAAGAGCCCCTCGGCGGGGGCTACAAGCCTCCAAGGCCCCTCTGCGAGCGCTTCACGCCTCCAAGGCCCCTAAGCGAGCGCTCCAGGCCTCCAAGGCACCTCAGCGGGCGCCCCAAGCCTTCAAGGCCCCCTCCATGGTGGTTCCTGAGCCGCAGTGGGCGGCCCCTTCGGAGGCTGTTCCTGAGCCGCAGTGGGCGGCCCCTTCGGAGGCTGTTCCTGAGCCGCAGTGGGCGGCCCCTTCGGAGGCTGTTCCTGAGCCGCAGTGGGCGGCCCCGTCCGAGCCTGATCCTGTTCCTGAGCCGCAGTGGGCGGCCCCGTCCGAGCCTGATCCTGTTCCTGAGCCGCAGTGGGCGGCCCCGTCCGAGCCTGATCCTGTTCCAGAGCCGCAGTGGGCGGCCCCGTCCGAGCCTGATCCTGTTCCAGAGCCGCAGTGGGCGGCCCCGTCCGAGCCTGATCCTGTTCCAGAGCCGCAGTGGGCGGCCCCTTCCGAGCCTGTTCCAGAGCCGCAGTGGGCGGCCCCTTCCGAGCCTGTTCCAGAGCCGCAGTGGGCGGCCCCTTCCGAGCCTGTTCCAGAGCCGCAGTGGGCGGCCCCTTCCGAGCCTGTTCCAGAGCCGCAGTGGGCGGCCCCTTCCGAGCCTGTTCCAGAGCCGCAGTCGACGGCTCCTTCCGAGCCTGTTCCAGAGCCGCAGTCGACGGCTCCCTCTGAGCCTGTTGCAGAGCAACAGAAGCGGAGGCGGCGTCCTCCTCGGCACATCCTGCTGAAGCGGAGGCGGCGTCCTCCTCGGCGCATCCTGCTGAAGCGGAGGCGGCGTCCTCCTCGGCGCATCCTGCTGAAGCGGAGGCGGCGTCCTCCTCGGCGCATCCTGCTGAAGCGGAGGCGGCGTCCTCCTCGGCGGCGCATCCTGCTGAAGCGGAGGCGGCGTCGTCCTCGGCGCATCCTGCTGAATTGGAGACGCCGGCCTCCAGAGCGTCTCTCTCAGCTCCGGCCCCACGGCCGGCCTCCAGAGCGTCTCTCTCAGCTCCGGCCCCACGGCCGGCCTCCAGAGCGTCTCTCTAAGCTCCGGCCCCACGGCCGGCCTCCAGAGCGTCTCTCTCAGCTCCGGCCCCACGGCCGGCCTCCAGAGACTTTTTGTTGCCCTCGCCCACCCTGGGTGGGTTGTTTTGATTTTTGGACTCTGTTCTGTTTTTGTGCCTGGTTCCCCCTCCGCCCACCCTGGATGGGTTGTTTTTAGTTTCTGGACATTTTAGGGCGTCTGGGATCCGCCCTTAAGTGGGGGGTACTGTCATGGTCCTGGTCTGATTGTTCCTGTTTTCCATTTGTTGTCCTCTGCTGACCTCTTGTGTCCTCCCTTCCTCTGTTTCTCTGTCCTGCCAAGCACCTGCTGCCAATTTCCTCGTCAGCTCTCTCTCTGTCCCCTTTAAAAGCCCTCTCTGTTCAGTTCCTGTTTGCTGGATCCTCGTCAAACATCCTGTTTAACTTCTGTCTGTGTACCTCCTCTCTCCCTGGCTCCTAGTTTGGATTTACCACTGATGTCTCCTTGGTTCAGGTTCGTTTGCTGTTTTCTTTTGGACTCTGATTCCTGCTCCTGGATCTGAGAACTTTAATAAAACCATTTTAATTCACCTCTGCCTACTGGTCTCTGCGTTTGGGTCCTCCATACAAACACCGATTCATGACACATTTTGAATTGAAAAAGTTTCTAGGATGAGAAACGTCTTTAAACTTGGAAACTAAGTCCAGTGGATTGTTTTTAATTTTCTTTTTTTTGGAATGACTATGACCTGGATGACTGAGAATCTTCATCAGCTTAGGATATTAAATTCTGACCAAGACAAATGTAATTTATTTGTAGACTGAGAAGTGAAACACTGAGTAATTAATTAGGAAGTGATGTATAGTTACCAGAGCAACAAAGAATGTTTAGTCAGGAACTTATTAAGAACCAATTGGTGGTTTCAATTTCCTTAAGGGTACATACAAACATTAGTTAATGGCCAGGTAGTGATTAGGTTCCTTATCAAGTATTTAATATAATGCTTGACTCCATAAAGACCAGAAATTAATAGACAGGCAATATTTTTTTACGAAGTAAGAGGCAGGCATAGGTAAATTAGGAGACAAAAGGGAGAACCAATAAACCAGGTTATTGACAGGAAACAGGTTTTCTGGAAGCTGTGCCCTCACAGGTGTAGGGTTTATTCATGGTGCCTTTTGCTGCTTTTGAGGTAACAGTCATCCCCTAAAAAGTATGGGTTCACCACTCTTTAGGTCCTCAATAGTCCCTCCTTGGTTTCCGTGGTGACAACCCATTAGTTCCTCTTTGTTTCCTTGGTAACTACACATCAGTTCCTGAGTTCCTCTTTGTTTTTGTGGTAACTTTTCACAAGGTCACATAGTTCAAAGTTCATCCGTAAAAACAGCTATTCTGGATGTTTTAGTTTCCTCTTCCACACCATTGGTCAACTGGCAGCTTTTTAGCAGGAATCTGCAGATCTTTGACATGTTGAGGATGTAGCTAGCAGCTTTACCTCAAATGAGAAGAATTAAAACATGTGAGATAGCAGCGGTGGAGGACTGAATTTGTACCCCAGTGTTTTAGAGATCTGCATGACATTCTGAAAATGTAGATGTTATTTGTATATTTGAATTAGACAGAGTTGTTGCCATGTGGCCAAGAAAGCAGAGCTGTGGTTTTTTATAGTAACAGATTCAACCTTAAACCTGGATTCCACTGTTAAAGTGTGAGTGGAATAATAACTCTCCCATTTTAAAAATATAAATTCATAATCAAATTAGCTTTCCTTTTTTTTTGTGGCATCTTCGAAAGTAAGAAATTTAGTACTTTAACTTGAGTTGATTTTTGACTGAACAACTTTTACTTAAAATTGACTAAGATCTGAGTAAAAGTAATACTTTTACTCAAACACTATAGTTGAGTACTTTGTCTACCACTGTTGACAAAGTATTTTATTTCCTTGATAACTACTTAATCATTCTTTATTTGTTCCTCTTTGTGTCTATGGTAACTACACATTAGTTCCTGATGAGTTCATCTTTGTTTCCTTGGTAACTATACATTGCTTCCTGTTTAGTTGTTTCCTTGGTAACTAACTAATCATTCCTGATCATTTCCTCTTTGTTTCCTTGGTAACTACCCATTAGTTCCAGCAGGGGTGGATTTAGGAAATGTGGGGCCCTAGGCATAGACAGGCAGGGGACCGTCTGAATTGAGAAGACATCACATAAAACAGACCCATTATACAGACACAGACATTTTAATAGAATAGGTGTACATTATTTTTTCTATGTTTTGACCCTCTCTTCCTGTCCCTTTTTTTGTTGTTTTCCTCTTTATATTTCGAACTCAGCTTAAAAGAAAAGATAGAGTAGAGCAGGAGTCGGGGTTACCAATCTGCTTGCTCTGGAGAGCAGAGTTTGGTGCCAAAGTGTCCAGTAGCAGAAAACAGTCACTAGATTTGGCGCTAGGCGCTTTTTAAAAGTGCTAGAAAAGAAATAAAGCAACAAAAGGTCTGCTTTGTGTGTGTGTATGTTTACATATATTTTTACATATATGTAAAAATACATATATGTTTTATGTTTTTTAAAAACATATGTTTTTTTTTTTTTTGTGGCACTAGTGACTCGTTTTCCTGACAGTAGGCTGACAGGAAAGTGGCTATGAGAGAGGGGGGAGTCATGCAGCAAAGGACCACAGGCCGGAATCAAACCCAGGTCGGCCGCGTCGAGGACTACACCAGACGAAAGTGCGCATTCAGCTCGGGAAAGAACTCATGCTCTTCCTCAACACTGAAGTCCTCAGACATTTTTCTTTCGTTGTTTCTTTCTTTGCACAGGTAAACAGCACATTTCTTCTTCTACGCTTGCATTATCGGCAGAGCAGTACTGAATGCGCACTTTCGTCTGGTTTGGTCTGCCGCGGTTTCCGTAGACTCGTGAACGCGCTTTTAGGAAATCCTATACACTACTGTTTATGCTCTAAAAACATTCTAAATGACTTCGTTTCGAGTAGATTATGGACTCTACCCACTCAGGACACTTGGAATACATTGGACGAGCAGTATGGAGGAATATTGATACGTTTTTTGTGGACTTTTATGGACCTTTCTGTCTCGGGCACCATAGACCTCCATTATTTGAATGTCAGCAGACAGCAAGAAGCCTCCCAGATCTCCAGATGCATTTGAGATATCAAAAAAGTACTCCAGAGTGTTGTTCAGCATGGGGGTGAGTAGAAAATGAAGGCTAATCATGTTTTGGGTGTACTATTCCTTTAAGCAAATGTAAGCTTTGCTTTTATGTTCAAAGGATAAAAATCCAGATCCAGTTATTCACGCATCAATCCAGAGAGAGCAACATCTTAAAGGAACATCCAAGCTATAGACTATTGTGTCTATGCCTCTGGACTTCTTTTTTTTTTCTTAACTGAGGTATTAAAGAGGGGAAGTGACTTAACCAGCGAACAGTTTACCAAATATGGCCACTGCGGGGCGTGGGATACATTCCCCTGTGATGCTGCTGCGCCGCCGACACGCAGGAAACTTCTGGCTTTACGGCAAGAACAGTAATCTGGATCTACGATTCTACCAACAGGTAAAGAAATAAGATCATTCTCCCAGCAGGTTGGGCTTTTTCCTCCTTTTCTCACACAGATCTACTGTAGAAGTTTGCCGATCGCTTTATTTACGCTCTTATTTGTGGAGCAGAGGTGATTACAGCTGGAATGGGCGCGGCTGAATCCGCTATGTGGGACAGAAACCTCTATCATACTCCTTAAATGTATGCAATATATATGTTTACATAACAATATCCTCTATCAGTAGGTGTTATATTCCACTTTTCTTACCAAACAGATTCGATAAAGGATCTAAAAGCAGCATATTATAGGACTTCTGGAGAGCACATGTTAGTAAAAAAGGACCATAGATGGAAAAGTAGGGAGGAAAAACATAAAAATAGCTGCTTTTCAATACTCAGAGACAGTTTGTTTGATATTTATATTTGCAATACTTCATTTGCAACATGAGGTTCCAATGAAAGGACCTGTAGGTAATAGAGGTTATCCTGGGTTGGTGGAACTTGTAGAAATAAAACCTCAAAGTTGGTTTCCTGTCAGCAGCGTTCAGGCCACAGCCTCCACCACAGCAGCTGCAGCAGCTGAACCAACTCACCTCTCTGAGCTCTGAAACTAGAGGTGGAGATCACCGTCTGTGGGTAGCAGGGAGCGCATTTAAACCTACAAACCCACTGAGTTTGTGCGTGGAACGGAAACGAGACTATAAACCTTCAAACTGAAGTGTTGCTCATGAGGAAAGGAGTGTAAGTATGGCTGCTGTTGCTTCCTGGAGATATGCTTAGATCCACCCAGCTTTCTATGAGTGAGTGTGTGGTCAGCCATAACAGGAAGCCAGCTAACGGATCTATGGCTGATAGAGTTAAATATCTTTAAGAAATGCAAAGGATTTGGAAAATAAAATAATCAGAAACACACCTCTAACCAGAGGAAGATAAATAAGAAGCATGCAGCTTCTGCAGGCAGGGGCGCTGCTAGGAATTTGGGGGCCCATGAACGACATTGATATTGCCCCCCACCCCAAAGGGGAAAAAAATAAAATAAAATTTACGCAAGCTATACAACTGCTATAAAGATGCACGGGAGATTATCACGGGAGATTATCATTTACATTTACATACACATTGATCAGAATGTGAAAAAATGAAATATACATAAACTTTAAACTTGACATTTACATGCTGTCTGCAGCGCGTCTAGATAAGGAGGAGCAGCGCGTCGCTGATCTGGGAGCTGGCAGGGAGACAGGCACTGATGATGCAGAGCGCTATGATCACTGCTCTGAAACAGTTTATTAACGCCTAAACTAACTTAAAATGCTGAAATCTGCTGACAAAACATTTGCTTTTATGATCATGGTGCCTGCAGTTTGGATTACGTACATGAAAAACGCCTTCCAGCCACCGCGACAAACTACGAGGAGGCCGGGCTATAAGCTGCTGTTAAATGGGTTTCCGAGTGGCAGTGCACCGCCAGTGTACGGGGGTCTAATTGGCTCCGACAGAAATAATATTTGAAGGCAGGATTGTAATCTGGATGAACTGACTGCGCTGACCATGTTTTCAGGTGGACTTTCTCACTTGAAATAGATTCAAACTACTTTTTACCCACTGATCACAGCAAATATAGCTGCCATTGTTACAGGCAAAGAAAATATAGGGTAGCTGCGCCCAATGAGCTTCAGACCCACTTTTTCTGACGCACAGCCTGAGCAGCAGAGATGCTTCAGCCGCGCGTCAAAACTAAACTTGTGCAAGCATCAAAAATTAAGCAGCCTATCGAAAAATAACAGGGAAACGAGGCTGCTGGTGGATCATCTGTTTACATGATGAAGGAGGGACAGAGACAGTTATTTAATGTAAATATCCAGGTAGCGTTTAGCTGATGCTAACCCTCTGATGACGTTTTCCTTTTGCCTGGTCTGGTTGATAAAGTTAAATTCTCAGCTCTGTGAGGATATTGGCTCAGTTGTTTGGTCTCTGTGTTATTTACACACTTTAGGCTCAAAACATGCTAGATTAATTAATTAATCTTGAAAACTAACAATGAAACACAACAAAATAATAAAAAAAAATGGCATTCATGTCCGGTCTCAGGCAGCACCCAGCTGGGCGGCATCATTAATGATGTGATTCCCCTCCGACACTGAGGAGGATTAACTAAGTAAACCTGGGTCACGGTATTAGATGCCTTTTCCCCCTCTCTTCTTTCTCCTTCCTTTCCTTATTTTTGAAACCCAGACTTTACAGTGCTGCATTATCATTACGTCAAAGGACGTACGCGTGGCATTTAGGCCCCGGTACGATATAACTGGCGGTGAGAGATTGGAGACCTGATGCGATGCAGGACCTAAGGACAAAAAAAGTTCTTGCAATTTCATGGGAGGGGGAATGTCAATATATTCATGATTTGTTTCACCGTTTGCTGCTGAAAAATGAGAGAGAACATGAAGATGATTTATTTGACTGCTGGATTTGTTTTATATGTGAAAAATATAGTTGGGCAAATCTTCTCTTCTTATTTGGGCCCCCCTCAGTCAAGGGCCCTTAGAATTTATGCTCCCCCCCTACGGCGCCCCTGGCTGTAGCAACCCTGCTTATTAGTATAAACTAATTTTCATCATTTTCCTTTTATGGATGAGAGACATGTTTACAGTAAGATATGTTTTTTCTATTCCAGTCATATTAAAGATAGAGATGGATGTTTAAAACTAGTGAACTTGAAATGGAAATATTTTTTAGTAAATACGGATAAATATGGCAGCAAACCGGGTATGGAATCATATTGGTATTTCCAGACTTGATTCCCATATTCTGTATCTGTTGTTGCTTTAAGTCCTTTGCTTCTTTTGTTCTTTCCTTGAAATTCAGAAAAGTTTGATAATTTCTCAAAATGTGGACATTTAAGGCAAACGTTTTAACCTGAGATGCTAGAACTTAAAAGAAAAATGCAAAAAAACTAGATATTTTTGTTTTAGCCATAAGCATATATATGGTATTTGTGTGAAATATGTTAATAAATATTAGATGTAATAAACGTTCGAAATAGAACAATAAATACAATAAAATAAAGAAAATGACCAGGGGCAAAGCTAGAGGCTAGAGGCTCTATTAAATTTAAATACAGCTTGGTTAATATATTCAACAAAAGGATGACCATGTGGGAAGTTTGTTGACCTTTTTCACTATTGAGAAGCTTTTACATCAGAAATTGTTTCTGTCTGCTGTTAGAATGACCATTAAAAAAGAAATGTAAATGTATTTTATGGCACTTTGCTTTTTTCTCCTGAGCCAAATAAATTCTTGTTTCTGTCTAAAGACCACTAGAGGGCGGTAGCATCAAAGCTATGAAACGTCACTTGGTTTGTTTAATATTTGGGGCTCAGCAGCCAAACTGTAGCTTCCTGTGTAATCAAGTCATTTCATGAACAGGAAGCCAAACCCATTTCTACCTCTTTGCCGTGTCTAGGCTTAAAATGAAGCTTGGGACTGAAGAATCAACACCTAATCTTTTTAATGTGTTTGAAGCGTAGCTTTAAGTCTGGTTTTATAACAATTTAGTAATGATTTAATTCACACAAAAAAAAACTTTGTTGAAATCAAATGTAAATGTGTTTATTATCTCTACCTTTTTTTCCTGTTTAGGGTGAGCTGCTAACCTGACAACAGCCAGATGCATGTCTCACTCCGCCTAGCTCCGCTCACATACATCTGGGAACCCGCCATAGGAATTGCCTTTACTGAAGGCTGGGCCTTATCAAAACTCCTTGCATATGATTGGATAAGCCACTTGTCTGTCATCTTTATTGACGTGCTATTTCAACCACTCACACCGAAGCTAACCCGTGACGCTGTGAGAGGAGGAGCCATTTGGTAGATCAAGCTCTTGCCAAATCCGGTCGGGAGAAGGGCGAAAACATCGTTTCCACCAACAAAAGCCTTCAAAGCCGTTCTCTGATGTTCTTTTAATGAAACAATATCAGATAGATTGGACAACACAGAAGAAATAGCAGCATCAATGCTAACGCTTGCTTCCTCAATGCGAGCCGCCATTGTTGTTGGAATCTCACGGTCGCTTCTCCACTCCAGGACACACCCACCCTGCGTCCTGATTGGACAGACCATAAATTCGGTTGGGGAAATCACTTTCAATGAGCGGGTTCCCAGATGTATGTGAGTGGAGCTGGGCGGAGCGAGACATGCATCTGGCTGTTGTCAGGTTATGAGCTGCAGCCTTTCCTTAAAATCAACTCTACAGGCAGGAGCCTATTTAATAAGTACGTCTCCCTCTTAAAATGTTTTATACTAAATCTGTTTTTTTTTATATATATAATAAACATTGAACCGGTCTGATTAAACTGTATCTGTAAGGTGCCTTGAGATGACGTGTTGTGAATGTGAATAAATAACCTGAACTTAAATAAGTCATATTACAGCTAATAACTAAAGTTGATTTTCACAGGGTTTTGTTCGTGTTTGTAGGTTAGTCTGAGTAGAAATCCAGCAGTGATTTGAAGCCCTTAAGGCTGATTAATACTCAGAAACCAGGTCGTCTGTGTGTGTGTTGCAGTGAACGCAAATGTGCCGCTGCCCCTTCTGCAGACACTCCGATGCACCTCTTCAATATTGTAGGTGACGGCAGACAGTGTCGCAGACAGGAGGCCTCTGATTGGTCAAATCTACATCCGTTCTACACTATCCTGTTTGGTACCTTACCGGCTTTTTTTGTTTGTATGACCGCCATTGTGGAAAACGACTTGTGAAGATGGACCAGCTAGAAGAGCGAGGTGCGTGAGAACGCTGGAACCCTTTTTCCACCTCGATCCCCACTCTTTTTCGCCCCCATGTCCCTCTGTTGTCGCACAAACTTGCCCCCACTTCCTCACCACGTCGGCCGTATCTAGACCCAAAGCTAGTTGGTAATTGTCCCTCTTGCATTGTGGCATGGAATAACATAAAGCAGACCATGCTTCAATATTGAGCATAATTAAAAAATATCTGCAACAAGCTCACTGCAATACACTGCTGCGGGGAGGATAACCAACCCTTATGGTGGTCAGTGAACATTACTGATCAAACAGCAGAAACCACAGAACACAGTTTAAAGCAGGGCTAAGTAAAGAAGTATTATTTTGGGTATAGAACAATCACAGACCTACCAAGACAGAAATATGTAGAAATAGATCACTGCATGTCTTGCTGGCTGATTTATGTATATTTTGGCGGATATTAGCGTTTTTTTTTCCTTTATCAGTATCAGCTAATGCATGCATGTATTAATGCAGATTCATCAATGCTTTCTGCAGCCATGTGTCGAGGTCACCTAACCTCCCTCTATTTGCAAGTCCTTGTTAATTTAATCTTTGAAGCATTATTGTTTCATCTTTGTTTGAATTGTTTAAATTGATATGTATGTTATGTTGCATGTTATTAGCCTCGTGAAAGCATCCTGATCTGGCGAGCTTTCAAGATTTTGCTCGCTAGTCAGTCTGGAGAGTCTCTGTTGAAGAAAATTTCAAGCCGTTCACCAAACGAACGTCCAATCAGCGTTGGCTTCGAGGCGGGTTGAGGTGTGACGCAACGAGAAGCGCGACAGTTCAGTCTAAAGAACATGGCGGCTTCAGCTGATGAAACTAGCGTTAGCGTGGCTATCGAGCAAGTTTTATCGGAATTACAGAGTATTTCTTCACTGAAAGAAGAGCAAAACACTGCTCTGGAGGCTTTTCTCAGAGGAAAAGATGTTTTTGCTCTTCTCCCGACTAGTTTCGGCAACAGTAGCCTGGCTGTTAGTACGTCATATGCTTCGTTGATCTGATTGGTTTATTTGGCCCGTCTATCACCAACATAGGCCAATCAGCTAACCAGTATTTTCGCCCCTTCCCAAAATTACTCCAATCGAAGGTTTCCAGATGGATATGCGGAGCAAATCCATCTGGCGGAGTCAGGTTAGCGTGTTATCCCTACTTCCCTGTTTCTTTGTCCCATATTTGCTACTGAAATCCATCAAGAAAAAATCTAAGTGAAATCTAAAAAAGACCTCAGCACTGTAGACTTGAAAGCTTTCTAAAAGCATTAAAATTGTTTGCTCTAGAAGTAGATTTTAAGAATTAAAATAGACATTATGTGCTTTTTTACAGAAAAATATCTTTGAAATAGCCTTTTCATTTGACCCTTTGTGACTAAAACATCATTTGATGTGAACACTGACACCTCATTAGTTCAGTGCAAATGCATCTATAAGCCTATTTTCCTTAATGTACTTTGGGTCCGTCCATGTTAAATGGGTCTGACCTAGCAAACAATGGAAGCGTTAAATTCAAGATGATTTATATAGATGTAGATACTCAGAAGCGATTAATATTCACCTTAACCCTGATACCAATGACCACTCCACATAACTGGAGTCCAGGTGTGAGTAGATTAGATTAGATTAGATGAGTTTTATTGATCTAACAGTGGAGAAATTCACTCGTCACATATTGGCATAGAAGTTAAAGAAGGTGCAAACAAGGAGGGAAAAAGGTGCATTAGGTGCATTATGAATAAACGATATATAAGATATATATATATACGAGTACGAGAACGAATAGAAAAATGTTGCAGTTCTGTGTTTTGGCCACAGGTGGCAGCGTCATAAAAAAAAAAAAATCTGCAATGCCTCTTTAAAAATGCCATTAAACAAACAGTTTGTTCTCTTCTGGATGTACAGATCGTGACGCCAACAGAGGGAAACTACCTGACAAGATCTCAGCACAGGATCAGGCTCAAGACTCATTGTCATCGAAGACGTCCCTTTAACTTCCCAGGTGACATCCCATCATGCCACTGACCTGGTTCCCCACCTCCCAGCTGCTATGGGTGCGTGTCGCCGCCGTGCTGTTCACCTGCACCGCGTTCAGTGTCACGGCACATGGCGGCGGGCTGCACCAAGCAGGCATGGCGGACTGGTGCATCTTCTGCTGGGCGTTCAGCTTCGCCTGTTCTGTGCTGGTCCTGCTGGTCGAGCAGTGCAGCCTCCAACCCAGAATCCCAGTGTCCTGGTCCAACTTCCCTATCACGGTCGCCTGCTACGCTTCCCTCCTCTGCCTCTCAGCTTCAATCATCTTCCCATTGTATTTTATCAAAGGCCAGAATTCCTACGGCGAGCAACGTGACCATCGGATCGCCGCCACCGTCTTCTCCTGTCTGGCAACAGTTGCCTACATGGTGGAGGTGAGCCTGTCCAAGGCCAGGCCAGGAGAGGTGGCGGGTTACATGGCTACAGCTCCAGGTCTGATGAAGGTGTGCCAAACCTTTGTGGCCTGCATTATCTTCATCCTGGTGAGCAATCCAGTGTCATATGACCATCACGCAGCCCTAAAATGGTGCATGGCGGTTTACTGCATCTGCTTCATCCTGTCCATGGCTGTGGTGGTGCTGTGTGTGGGAGAGTGCACCGGCTGCCTCCCTATCCCCTTCTCCAAGTTCCTGTCAGTCTACGGACTTTTGGCCACTGTCATGTACCTGACGGCCACCATCCTCTGGCCCGTGTTCCATTTCGACAGGAACTACTCAAGGGGAGGAGATAAGTCCAAATTGATCGCCGTGTCTGTGCTCACTGCTCTTAACTTCCTGCTGTACATCGCTGATCTGGCTTACAGCGCCAGACTGGTGTTTGTGAGCGGCTGAGATGCAGGGAGACGAAGAATACTCTGAACAGATGAGGCTGACAGAAGGGACAGAGCTCTTTTTTTGTAAGTTTAGACGACACAGACATAGTCCTAAACACCTAAATGTGTGTATGTGTGGTATATGTCTATGTTTGCATAATCACATTGCTGCCTTACAGTATGTGCTGCTTAATGTGAAGTGGCTTGTTTTGAATGTCTAAAACAAGTATATGAATAAAGGGAAAAATTATTTATTTTTTTTCAACTGTGCAACAAAAAGGAGTGAAAAAGTGGGTCCAACATTTAATCTCCCTTAAAGTTTTTTTTTTAATTGAAATGGACTAAATTGAATAAAACCCAAGAGAAACTCATAGGAATAACTGGATAAAAATCAAACAGCTGCATTGAAACCTCTGTTCACATTCAGTTTTAGTGCTTAGTTTCATGTTTATGATAGATTTACTACTGAATAGCAATGGTTAGAACTGCCTCAGTATGATGCAACAAATCAGGAAGTAAAACCTTTGCCAGTCAAAGAAATAGAGGAAACCATCTCGAACACACTCAACCTTGCCGGTCCTTCAGTCAGCTTCTCTCTCACAATGAATGGTAAGTCAATATTTTCTCTTTGGAAAAAAACCCTGCTGTTTGTGAGGTTTAAATAGTAACTGAAAAAAAAATGTCTCCCACACATGTTTTTATTGCTTCTTGTTCCTCTTTAATCCCAGTAAATCTCTGACTGTCAATAGTTTTTTTTTTCATTGTATTATTTGCTGGTTCAGCAAAAATAAGTTTTATCGAATGTAGTTAAAGCAAAGAACAATAGACAGGGAGCTGTAGGTGATGTGAGAGGGGTATTTGATGGGGTATTTCTCGCCACTGCTTGTACGATGGTTGTTTCTGTATAAGGAAGTAACACCCGCCAGATTTTCTTCTCCTCATGTTAGTTTAGCAGAGAGTTGCCCGCTCCTCCAATGTTTCTTTACAACGGTTTACATTTTTTTTCTACACTTTTTTTGGATTGTTGTCAACAGTTTGCTTTAAATCTCAACAAAATTCTTCAATCATTTTACAAAATGAACTTAGATTTATTTGTTTAACACCAATTTTCTGAGTTATTTGAAACATTAGAAGTAATTTTCCTGTTAACCTGGGACAAGCTTCAGTTGAGATTATCACATTGCTTTTTTTTTCTTTTTCCCGTGTCCTGTTTGCCAGTATAGAAGTGAAGATTTATGTCACAAAAAGTTTGCTTTCACAAGTAGACCATAAGGTCTACTTGGTAATTGTAACATTAAAAAAAGAATCGCTTTGGCAAGAATAAAAAAAAAAAAAAAAAAAAAAAACATGCAATGGGAAAGAAGACAGAATGGGAGGATAGAAAGTGAGAGGGGATAAGAATTTACTATGTATGCGCTGTATATGCGCAACTGCTCTTGTATATAGAAGTTTTATAAAGCTTCTTTAGCAGGAATTTATGCTTAATAGCTGGTGTGAAGAGTCCCAGACCCACCCCAAATAGTCCAGGGCTGATGAATAGGAGACTGGTGCCCCAGAAATCCGAAGACACCCCAGAGTAAAAGGATACAGGGATGGCAGTGCCCTCTCAACATGGGCAGACGAGATCCCCAGAGACTTTTAGACAACCACCTAACTCATTCCTAAGGACATTGATAAAAACCCAGTTTGGGAAGACGTAATTTGTTAAGATTTCCCATTGGGCATAGCTTAACAAAACACTTTCACATTCTAGGTAAAATAAATACAGATGTGATGGGATGACCTCTGCCTCACCCCATTTGCTTAGGAGTGAGTTATTATGCACTCAATCTGATCTTTATCCACAACAGCCAGTTGGTGGCGCCACCTCCCCGCTTCTTACAAGAGTAAACCTTTCCAGTTTGCAGCTGACACATAAGTAGAATATAGTGCTATATGCTGGCAGACACTTAATGAATATTTCAATACCACTGATCAAGGTTGTATTGCCACCAGTGGTGTCAAAAGTACACACATTTGTTACTTATGTAGAAGTATAGATACTGCAGTTTAAAACACTCTGGTAAAAGTTGAAGTATCAACTTGTCCTCTTTACTCAATTGAAAGTTAAAATTTATGACTATTTCAAAAAAATTCTTTGAGATAGGGCCAAGGATGAGGGAGGTCTTGTTGGTCTCTGTCTCCATCTTCCGATACGCTTCTCGCTTGTGTCTGAACTTTCAGACATTTCAACATCTTTTTCTGAATCCAATATTGTAGCATGGCATTGACAACTCATGTTTGCAGTTTGAAGAACACCTGCTTGCTTCTGATGATTTCCTTTAGCTAACCATTTTTGCGTTTTGCGTTATATGACTCATCCAATTACACTAGTTTTCACTAGATCTGGATGGTGCCAATGATCTGCATTGGATGGCGCACATGACGTGAAATAAACAGAGATGGCAAAAGTACTCACTTTCCGTACTTGAGTAAAAGTTCAGATACTTGTGTTAAAAAATACTCTGGTAAAAGTGGAAGTACTGATTAAACTTCTTTACTCAAGTAAAAGTAACAAAGTACAGGCTTGTAAATTTAATTAAAGTATAAAAGTAAAAGTAGAAACCACTTTTTTCATGCCGTTGCCTACATTTTAAATGGATGTCTGCCAATAGGACTAGATCTCCGTTGTGTTCATTTTCAATCATCTTGTCGTCCATGCTACTATGCTAACGCCACCGCCACCAAGCTGCAATGATTTGCCGTGAATGAATACAGCCGAATCTGTGGATTCATCTTGTAGTGGTGCGTCAAATGCAACGTAGATTCCCATCCAATTAGACTGAATTTGGTATTGATGACGTGAAAAATAATAACGGTAACTCCATTGAAATAATTCAAAACTAAAGTAACGAGCCAATTTTTTAAAATGTAAGGAGTAGAAAGTACAGATATTTGTGTAAAAATGTAAGGAGTAGAAATAAAAAGTCGCCATAAAAATAAGTAGTAAAGTAAAAATATCAGAAAAATCTACTTGAGTACAGTAACAAAGTATTTGTACTTCGTTACTTCCCATCTCTGGAAATAAATATTTATAAACACTAAACCAAAGCTAAGAGTAACGAGAAACTTTTGTTTTAAAAATTTAAGGAACAGAAAGTACAGATACCAGTGTGAAAATGTAATGAGCAGAAGTCAGAGGCAGGAAGAAAAATAAGTAATGAAGTAAAGTATAGATACCTAGAAAGTGTACTTAAGTACAGTAACAAAGTATTTGTACTTCGATACTTGACACCTCTGTCTGTTATAAGTAATTTTCCATAAAGTAAGGTAACAATAAATGACAAAACTCAATAAAAGGTAAAATAACTCTACTTTTCATCAATTCACTTATTGCTCCATAATTTTTTAAATGCTGAGTGTCCAGGAAGTAATACACAAGTGAAGTAATCATGGTTATTTTTCTATTTGTTCCAGACTCAATTAGAATAGTCCTCCTGGGAAAAACCGGAGCAGGGAAAAGCAGCCTGGCCAACACTATATGTGGAGATGAGCTGTTCTCCATCAACCATACCATCAGCTCTGAAACAAGAGAGTGCAAAGCCATAACCAGGCCTGTCAGTGGAAGAAACCTTACAGTCATTGACACCCCAGGTTTCTTCGACACAGACCAGCCTGAGGAAGACCTGAAGCCTGAGATACTGAGGTGTATCACTGAGTGCGCTCCTGGGCCTCATGTTTTTCTACTTGTTCTCAAAGTGGAAAAAAAATTCACAGAGCATGAGCAGGCGGTTATTGAGAAAATCTGCACATATTTCTCTGAAGATATTCTTAAGGACGCTGTGGTGATATTCACCCATGGCGACCAGCTGCCTGATGGGATAAAGATTGAGGATTTCGCTGCTAATAACAACCTTGTGAGTGAACTGGTGAAGAAGTGTGGTAACCGCTGCCATGTCATGGACAACAAATACTGGAACAGACACCAACAAGGTGAATACAAGAGCAATAAGCTTCAGATGGAGAAGCTGCTTCAAACAATTGACACAATGATAAAAGAGAACCAGGGCAACTGCTACACCAATGACGTTCTGCAGGCAATGGAGCAGGAAATAAATAGAGAGGAGCAGAACATTCGATTGGTTCAAGAAAATCTATCAAATGCAGAGATCAGAGAAAGGGCAAAGAAAGAAGTTTTAAGAAAGCTCCTCATCAGCTTCACAGCTATTGGAGTAGGTACTTTGTTAGGAGCGCTTTTTGGCATGGTAGTCATGGTTGGAGCAGTCCTTTCTATTTTAAAGAAATCTTCCCATCCATTAACCCTGAAGCAGGCAGTAGGCCAATTGCAGCTACAGCAGGGGTAGCGGTTGGAACAGGAGGAGCAGCACTGGCAGGAGGTGTTGTACCAGCAGCAACAGCTTTGAGCATTACAGGAGCATGTGCAGCAACAGGAGCAGTTAAAGGGGCTTTAATTGGATACGATGTGGCCGAAGGAGCTAAGAGTCCAAAAGAAGCTGCCCTGCAAACGGCAGAGGCTGTGAAGTATGAAGCACAGGTTCACTTAAATAAGGTCAGCCAAGTTTGGAATAAAGCAATGACAACAAAATCCAAAACATCAGAGCAAGAAGAGGCTGCTCTGCTTGATAAAGAACTGAAAACAAGCTAGCTGGAAGGTTTATTATCCTGACATAAAGATCTGAACCTTCAGTTTAATGTGAAAATGTATTGTTCACATTAAACTGAACAATACATTTTTTCCCATTCCGGGATTAAACGATAAACTGTTAATCGGATCAGTTTAGATGAAACATCATTGAAAAAGACAAGTTTGCTTAATCTGTGTTATTATGTTAATTTCTGTTACTACCTGCTCAACTGCTTTTCCAATATTGTTCATTTTTTTCTACAATTATATCATGTTAGAATGTATAAGACTGTGAATTCATAAACAATTTTGGTGGACAGAGATTTTGTATAATATAAAAATAAATTCCTGAAAAGGTCCCTGTGTTAAATGTCATTTACCCAATCATTCAATAGCCTACATACACTTATGCTCCTCATTATTCATGGCAAATGTAGATATGCATTACGATCAGGGCTTCGTCATCCACATACCATGAGAAATTTGATAGAAAAGCATGACAATAGAGCCAGGAACGCTGGCAGTAATGCTAGGGGAAAAAAATGGTACTCAAATTAAAATCCTTGCAGAAGCTGAAAGAACCATTATCAAAAAAAAAAAAAAAAAAAGAACCATTATCAAAAATTTGACAATATTGAGATTTATTTTACTTTTCTTTTGTGGAGTTGATTTGTTTATAAGAATTTTGTGTGATTTATTAAAAACAAAAGAAAGAAATATGAAGTAAGAGATTAAAATTACCCTTTTGTTTTATAGGCATAAATGAAGCACGTTTAAGAATTCTCTGTACATTTCTAAATGACCACAAGAGATAGCAGCTCATTAATCACACGGAAAACTTGATTGATTGGTTGACTTTATTGATCTCACAGTGGAGAAATGTGCTCGTTACATCAGCTCAAATAATCAGAGAAGTAGAATGTGCCTAACTAAAAAAAAAAGTGCATGGGAAACTAATCAAATATACCAGTAAAGACATTGAATTATTTTTTTTTTTCTTCAAAAGATGACACTTACATAAGGAGTTTAATTTTATAAAACTGATATCCTTGCAGATGAAATGAAAAGTAAATGAAATGAAAAGTACAAGAAAGTATTATTGTTGTTTGTGCAGCAGAGTGATCTGATGCAGCAGAACAAATGTTGCTTTTTCTGGTTCACAATGCCGATGCAAAACAAGGTTCTTAGACTGAAGGTAGTGATCATGGTAATTTATGAGAAACAAACCAAATGTTGCTTAATTTTTAATTATGTTCTTGCCCCACAAGAAAAAAAAAAATACTTTCTTTACACAAAAGAAGGAAAAGAAATAAGCTCCCACCAGCTTTTACTAAGATTTTTTAAAATCCTTTTATATGGTGTCAACATTCTTAAGGCAAATTAGTGTATCTTAACATTTTTACATATTTTACATTGTTAATAATCATATGCATTTGTGTTGCTTTTAAAACTATATAGAAATAGAACTTTGTGCAGTGGATGCCATGACATCAAACATAAACATACATCAAAAGAACAAGTGAAATGACTACGTCAACCAAAGAAGTAAGCAATTCAAATAACAGTAGTGAAATGGTTATGTTACTAGATTAGCATAATATAAATAGCATAACATAGCTTGCAGTGTTAGTATTAAATTACTAACAAAATAAAAATATTTATGCTGCATATTTATACAATATTGACATATAAGAATAGTGCATGTTATATATTTAAACATAGATGTGATTCTTATTCATTGCAGTTTTGCTAAGGAAGCATCTTTTCTGTTTCTATTGTAGTTTTTTCCCAGATTTAGACATTACACATAAGCCATAAGGTTTAAATACTTCACTTTAACTCAAGTTGCAATATAAAAAAAGAGATTTTCACACATATTACAAAGCTTTTTTGTAATATATCTACTTTAAAGGGACACTATGCAACATTTTTCTGTTAATTAATGTGTTCCATAACGTTTTGGATGACTAAATGAGTCATTTCAGGTTGAACAAAGGTATTCTCGGCCGCCCTGGTGGTCTGTGGGGGAAATACTGCACTTGCAACTGCAGGAGCACCGACCCGCACCCACAGGCTCAGAAGTCTCGTGAGAGTCAGTCTTGCTTTACGGCGAGAACTGCTACACCCCCCAGTTAAAAGCATTCTCGTTGCTAGCACAGTGGCGATCTTTGTGCAGTTATGCTACGTTCACGCAGCAAAAGCAGCAAAATCGTGTCTGCTGCTTCATTTTTGCTGCTTGTACCAGTTAGTTCTGACGCGCGGCTGAAGCAGCTTTGCTGCTCTGGCTGCAAAAGTGTGTCTGAGGCGCGTTAGGCGGAGCTTCACTATCCTTTCTTTTGCCTTGCAGCTATATTTGCTGTGATCAGTGGGAATAAAGTAGTTTTAATATGTTTTTAAGTGAGAAAATACACCTGAAAACGTAATCATAGTTGTCAGTTCATCAGATGATTATCACGCATCAATATTTTTTTGTCGTAGGTTCACCAACCAGACAAACCAGGTTGCGACGAAGTATGGACCATTCATCTAGGATTACAACCAAGGCTGTTTGATTTTTTTATTCTAAATAAATCAAAACTCTTTCTTTACCAAGAGGAGAATTTCTCATTTTAAGTAAGGATTTTTAAAATCCTGTTTATAGGTGCAATCTAGGCAATTATTATCTTAAGCGTTTACATATTCACATGTTAAACCATCGCATGGCTGCTTTTAAAACTAAAATAGACTTTGTGCGTGGAGTCATGACATCCAAAACATACTCAAAGACCAAGTGAAATGACTTGTCAACGCAGTAAGCTCAGTGTGAAATGGTTTGTTTATACATTAAAAATACATACATAGCTTGCAGTGTTAGTATTAATTGACTACAAATCAAAGTATTTATGCTGCATAGTTTATACAATATTGACAAGAATAGTGCATGTATATTTTAAACAATGATGGATTCTTGATCGGTTTGCTAGAGACAGCTTTGTTCATAGTTTTTACGACATTCCATCCCAATTTAAATACTTCACTTTAGCAGTTGCATATGGAAAAAATTTACACATAACAAAGTTTTGTATATACTTTAATCCGGCTACATTTTTCATGCATATTACCTGCTAGATGTATAAAGGGTTTACAGAGAAATCTGGTTAACATGAGGAACCTTCTAGTTTTTCCAGGCTTTTTAGCTACATAATTGGGTCATGTGTGTTTTGTCATATCTGATGTCCTATTGGATAAATATTGTGCTCTACTATGTATTGTTTTAACCTGTGCAGCCAGTTCATGCATATAGAACTAATATACAACCCGCTTCTTCTGTAAACGCAAAAACACACATTCTTATAATTCTCCCTTTCACTTTACTGGTGGTACATGGTTTTGTTTAGTGTTATTATCATGTATTAACAGTATAAGCAACACCAACAGTGAAAACAAAAACAATGCAACAAATGAAAGGATTGTTTCAACATTTACACTGAGAACTAATGATATCATTAATAGTAAGTAAAACACAATTGCCAGCAGTATTTCTCTGATGTGCTTCTTGATTTGAGAAATGATTTTTACAACCCACACAATTATTTCAATAAACTTTTTTAATGCATATAAGCCTCCAGGTGCCATGATTCCCAGTGATGTCAGAATGTGTTCCCATGTCACGCTTGTACCAGCTATCGCGGCTGTTGCCTCTGCTGCGATAAATCCTTCAGTAGCTTCTGCTACAACTTGTGCTCCACCTGTGCCTCCCCCACCTGTTGCTCCACCTGTGCCTCCCCCACCTGTTGCTCCACCTGAGCCTCCTCCACCTGTTGCTCCACCTGTGCCTCCCCCACCTGTTGCTCCACCTGTGCCTCCTCCACGTGTTGCTCCACCTGTGCCTCCCCCACCTGTTGCTCCACCTGTGCCTCCTCCACGTGTTGCTCCACCTGTGCCTCCCCCACCTGTTGCTCCACCTGTGCCTCCCCTACCTGTTGCTCCAGTTGTGCCTCCCCCACGTGTTGCTCCACCTGAGCCGCATCCTCCACCTGTTGCTCCACCTGAGCCTCCTCCACCCGTTGATCCACCTGTACTTCCACCTGTGTCTCCAACACCTGTTGCTCCACCTGTGCCTCCTCCACCCGTTCCCCCACCTGTTGCTCCACCTGAGCCGTCCTGCCACCTGTTGCTCCACCTGTGCCTCCCCCGTCGTTGCTCCACATGTGCCTCCCACCACCTGTTGCTTCCAACCGTGGCCTCCTCCACGTGTTGCTCCACCACTGTGCCGTCCCCTACCGTGTTGCTCCAGTTGTGCCTCCCCCACGTGTTGCTCCACCTGAGAGCCGCATTCCTCCTCCTGTTGCTCCACCTGAGCCTTCCTCACCCGCTTGATTCCACCTGTACTTCCACCTGTGTCTCCAACACCTGTTGCTCCACCTGTGCCTCCTCCACCTGTTGATCCACCTGTACTTCCACCTGTGTCTCCTCCACCTGTTGCTCCACCTGTGCCTCCTCCACCCGTTGATCCACCTGTACTTCCACCTGTGTCTCCAACACCTGTTGCTCCACCTGAGCCTCCTCCACCCGTTGATCCACCTGTACTTCCACCTGTGTCTCCTCCACCTGTTGCTCCACCTGTGCCTCCTCCACCCGTTGATCCACCTGTACTTCCACCTGTGTCTCCTCCACCTGTTGCTCTACCTGTGCCTCCTCCACCCGTTGATCCACCTGTACCTCCTCCACCTGTTGCTCTACCTGTGCCTCCTTCACCTGTGCCTCCTCCACCTGTACCTCCTCCACCTTTTGCTCTCATTCCTGCTCCTCCTATTCCTGCCGCTCCTGAACTGAATGTTCCTGCTGCCCCTATAACTGCACCTATAGATCCCAACACTGGGTACCAAATTCCTCCAAACTCTCTTCCTTTAGAAGTTCCTCCTCTCTGAGCTTGTCCACTTGTTGTTGCCTCATTTTCTTTTGCATCATCTTCTCCTTTTCCGTCTATGTTTACAGATTTTTCTGCTACTTGTAAAACTACAAGGGATGATCCAAAGAAAGCATTGGATCCTGATCTATCTGTGTTATCTGTTAATTTGATCCATGCATTTACAGAAATACACTTGCCGTATCCTTCTTTTGTTTTCTTCGCTGTATTGTCCAATGTGGTTAACAGCTCCTGTAACTGAACCTCGATGCTTCTGCGGCACTGGAAATGATACAGAATGACCAGAAATGATTTCTTCAGGATTGAGTCGGTGACTATTAATGTTTAATTCATCCAACACACATTTATCCCCATTAAAGTAAAACATTATTTTGGCTGCATAGACATTTAGTTGAAGATTAATCTGTTAGGCAGATAAATTTAAAAATAAAAATACAATTCTGTGAAAAAGTTCCATATATTTTTTGTTGTCCTTAAAAAAAAACGTATTTAGTATTCAATTCCTTACACATAGAGTTATTTCAAACCTTTATTTCTTGTGATTTCTATCACAATGGCTTACAGATAATTGGATCCCTAAATTTAAGGTCTTTTCAGCCAATGCTAATTAGCCTAGCTCTAAATAATTTTGCCCAAAACATTTTTCAAGCATTTCTATTTTTTTTCTTTTAGGGTATCGAAATTGCTTTCTTGTTGAAAAACATAATAAAAAACAAACCCCAGCTATACCCACCATCAGAAATGAACAGGACTGAAAAAAGTTACAAAAAACTATTAGACAAATGATCAAATAGAGAAAGTTTTTATCAATCCTAATAATCCTTAACATGAAAAAAGAAGTTTAAATTGATGTAATGCAGTGAGTAAAATTGTAATTTGACTTTTCATTCATTGTATGAAAATACCCTTTTAAACTATATAGAGATGATACTTGAATGTGCAATGCAGCAGTTGGTCATTCTGTTTCTAGTCAGCTGACTATATCATTTACTTGTTCTTCTGTTTAAATGTAGATTATTATTACAATATTGCTATCACAATAGTGTATTAAATCATAGCAGTTAGTTCTGAAAAAGCCTGAGCTGTACAGGGTGTAAAGGGCTCATATCACTGTTTAATATAACTAGCAGCAAATATCTTGTGAAAACATATTACATTATTTTGTAAAAAAAAATGTATTTTAGCAATTTAGAAGCTCGGGAATAACGGATCCTATAGAGTTTGCTAGCATAATTAATAGCATAACTTATTTGGATTCTTTGACATGATGAAAAGCTAATGACTTAATCATTGTTACCGGGTTAAATTTAAAAATATACAGAGGTAACTATAAGGGAATATTCATCAATTCCTTTTTGTATTGTTAATAAATCTCTGCTTATTACCTGAGTAGATGTTATATTTGGTTGGAGGACAATGCGAACCAAGAGTGGTTTACTTCTATCTTGACTCCACTCAAAGGACTGGATCTCCTCTCTTAACACCTTAGCGACCACACTTTCTGGAAACCGCAAGGCCATTCCGACTCCAAGTACAGGGAGTGAAATCGATTCAAACCCTTG